AAGCACTTGCTCCAGCAATTAGTAATCTGAGAACAAATATGCATTACTTCCAGTGCCTAGAACAGCAAATGAAGGAGAAATTCTGACATTAAGATTTTTTGACCTGAAAAAAAAAAAAAGGCCAATTTCTCGTGTTCAAAGAAATGACATTATTTCCCAAGAACTGCAAGAAACAGAGGAATTAAGAGTAGATATGAAAACCCAGGCAGCAAGAAAACATGTCTAGGAAAAAGTAAACATGTTTTGGTGAGACCTCAAATTTCATTATGCCAGGCCTCTCCCACACCCACTCCTAAGGCAATCTCAGCCAACAAAACCTATAATGCAGGAGGAAAGCAAATGCAGAGGCTTTTTTTTTAAAAAAAAAAAAAAAAAAGTTCAACTACCATTAGTAAAATGTTAGGTGGAACAAAGCTTAATGGTTTCAAATTTGGCAAAAACTTGTAAGTAGATCTAAAAAAGAAAAAAGAAAAGTTAGAAGACAGTGAAAATTCCCAAGTATTAGCTCCAGGGAGTCTACTTTCTAACTTAAATGTCAAGCTTTGACCTGTAAGACTTCAACTGGGTATTTTTCATTCAAATAACATCCACCATAGAGTGAAGTTAAGCGCTCCACAAGTTTACATGCACATTTGTGAAAGCTGTCTTTGTAGTCCCTACAGATAATACATGCACTGTTCTGTAACAGCAAAAGCTTTGAGCAAGTTCTGTGATCCCAGCTAAGAATCCTCAGTGATATACTCACCTGCCAATTACTCTTAATGTTTTCTTTTACATCTGAAATCCTGCAACCTCCTTCAAGTTATTTTGGTATTTATGTCCTGAAAAGTCACTCTAGCTGCATGCAAGTATCAGGATGTTTGCAGAGGTCAGATTCCACCTGAAGTGAAAGTCCATGCCCCAGGAGAAGTGACCTACTGAATATTTGCCAAGGCTGCTTCTATCCACTCAGATGACTGGAGAGCTATATGTGCCTCTCCCCAGGCCCTACAGATTATCAAATCCTTCAGATCAACAGGCCTCACTTCATGGGGGCTTTTCTGTGCCACCCAAGACAACCACACCGTGCAGCTCAACTTTAAGAAAGGAAACACAATTCAAGAACATGAGTCTGATGGTTGGAATAAAGGCAAAGAAAATGGTTCTTTGTTCACCTCCTGTCACTGTGAGATTGAAGTAAAAAAGAAGAGAGTCAAGCACAGGTTTTTAGAGCAGCATAAAGAGCCCCATTCATCAGGTTATAAAAAGTCACATGCATTTGCTTGTGTCAGCTTAACAAAGCCACAGTAAGAGGGATTTCTTTAGAAGTCATGACACTGCCTGAAATACAAAAGCAGTTGAGACATGAAAACACTAGATAAAAAATGAGAAAAGATGCTGTCATGAAGGCCAGACAATCCAGCACACTACAGAGGAGCACTTGCTTAAAAGTGTTTTCCAGCACATAATACATGTAACAGAAAAAAAAGTTGCAGAAAGGAAAAGATTATGCAATGTGTCCAATCCTCTTCCCACCACCAGATCAGACAGGTTGCTCCTACAAGAGGCACAGAAAGTCAATACACAAGTAGACAGAGGAAAGGGAATCTCATGAAGGAAGGTTTGGGGCAGTTTTGATGCACTAAACAACCCACCACCACACACACACTGTAAGGATATAAAGATGCTAGTACGAACAAGTATTTGGGTGAAGGCACCAGGAAAAGAGAGTAATGCAATTTTCTCACTGTACAAAAACATAAGCTTTCACACTAATGCCTCGAGTCTTAAGTCCAGTATGTTTTATGAAAATATCATAACCATTAGGATACCTAAACATTATGATGTTCAAGAATGTCAATACCATTAGCATGTCATAAGTAGAAGCATCCAAAAGCTTAGGCTATCATGGATGTTCCAATGAAGACATTGTACTTATTCAATTTGCTTCTCCAACATACATATTCCTGGGTTGTTACTTTTTGCTTTAAAGAAATTGCATTTGACTAATAAGGTACTAATATAGCGGGCACGACTTAAATCCTTTTATAAGGTCATATTTAGCCAATATGCCTGGGAACTATTACCATCTACAGAACAGCAATAATCTTGTGTTACTCTTAGCTAATAAGAGCCTTTTCAAGGCAGAAAGAGGCTTTTGCGCTAAAGTCATTTCCACGAAGACTGTTTCAGATAGTCATAATATACAGTTGAGCACAAAGCAAAGACTAGTGTGCATGTCAATATATTTGAATAACAGCTGTGCTTATACAAGACAAAGGAAGACATGTCACATAATGCGTTTTTCAGATTATTTAGAATACTGCAGTATGGCACAAAACAGAGTCATTTGGCAACCTAACATTAGCGTGTTTGACAGTAGAGAGTCTGGGGATGCTCCATCTGAGGCATCGAGCACTCATTGTCTTAAAGAGGAGGGACACTGATACCATAGTATTCAAACAAGCAAATATGCAGAGGACACAGGAGTAAAGATTAGGCAAAAAAAGGTCAAGGAAATAGGAAGTAACAGGAAGCAGAGAAAGTCCTTTAAAACATACGACAAAGACATTGGATTAAATGTGCATACATATAACCTATCTGCTAGTGCTACTCAAATTTCTCCCTGCCTTCAGTAGATTCAGCCACTAACACTTCGCACACATTATACACATACTCTATGACTTGCCCTATAATGCAGAGAAAGGCTTAATACACTTCCTATTATTAGGATGCTGAGAAGGTACTGTAGAAGTTCACAGCCACATACAACTTGCATCAACTAGGCTTCTTAGCCACAAATACCTGCTCTGACTTCTGATTACAAAGAGCCCCAGTAAGGGCTCACACTATTAAAGTTTAGAGAGTCTAGTAAAGGTTTTTATGTTAGCTGTGGATCCGTGCACGCAGCTGTGGGTCCGTCACAAAATCTGTGACAAATGAAGTTATAGCAACAGTCCTACTCTCAGCATTGAGGGCAATGCTGCAGAGCATCATCATGTCTTTGGTGCTGGCTAAAAACACAGAGCTGTTTAACTAAGCTGATACAGCAAACTCATTAAGCCATAATAAACATAACAGTGACTCTAAACTCAATGCCTATTCCACTTAACTGTGCTGATATGCATCTGTGAATATCCTGGTAGAAGCACTAATTACAGTTCTGAACTCCAACCGGAGGGTACTTTTGTCCAATGCTTGGACACTACCTTCGTACAACACCTCATTAAGCTGTGGAATGCCTTTCCGCAGGATACTGTGGTTGCTGAAGTTTACCAAGGCTCATGCAGCAAAAATTCAGAAACAGTGCCACGAGCTCAGGAAATCTTTGACCACCAATTGCTAAAGGCTGGCAGAGATCCCAGGGAAGTAACACAACATGCTGCCTGACTAAGTCTGCTACTGGGTAAAATGTCACAGATAGGACATTGAGCAGGGTGATCTTTGGCCTAACCCAGTATGACCATTCTTCTGATAGGAATGTTCGAAAACAGATTTTTCTCTTCTGCTCTCCCAGAGAATAGCAACCAGCCAAGGTTCAGATTATATTCAAGCCACAGTCAGTGGATTTTCTCCTTGCACTTACACCTAATAGGCAGCTGGAGCAGGAAAAAAAAAAAAAACAACAAAAAAAACAAACACCTTGATATGAACACTGCCTCCACAGTAAATAATGACATGATATAAGACAAACTGTATTGCTTTATGGAGGAAGCAAAACACTAAGCTGGTATCTTACACACATTGTCCAGCCTTGACACCCAGGTTCCCATATAGTCAACTGAATATTTCTGACAGTTTTCTGTTTTTATTACAATTATAGTTTCAAGCTCTTGGTTCACCTTTCTGGAAATTATTTCAAACACTGAAGCACTTAAATTTGCTGGGATAAATGAGTTAACTGATGATCATAACTTACATTTTCCTGGTCAGAAGACAGAGGTGGCTCCACTAGAAGAAGCCTTTGCTCAGAGCTGTCCTCTTCAATGTTTGACTGTGCTTCAGTGCTAGACATGTGTCCTTTCCTGAGCCGTAGACCTGGCTCGGGAGAGCCAGCATTATCGAGTTCCGTTAGTTCATTCATGAGATGCCGGGAGCCTTCTCAAATACTCTTGCTTCCTCTTGGGGCTTTGGCTTGGCTGATAATGCGTTGGCTCTGAAAGATAAACAGTTTATATAACTCAAAGTTTAAAAAAGAAAAAAAAAAAAAGATTTACAAGAGTGGGTGGAAGTATGTCTAAAAGCTACTAAACAGCTTGAACTCACTGTTCAGAAACTGCTAGGATTGTCTTTAATATGCCCAAACTCACACACACCATCCATATAGACTCTTAAAACGGACAATGAATTCTCAGCTCATGCCCACTAATGCTGCTGTTTGCCAACACAGGTTAAACATCCGCCTTTGAAATGTGACAAAGACAGCTCCAGCACAGCAATAAATTCACAAAAGCACTTAAAAAGCATTGTTGCAAATGCTGTGATGTTAATATCACAGCCGTTCTGCAATACTTATTTTTTTATGGGAACAAGGCTCATTTTGGATAGACTAGGCTAGATTTCACATTAGACAGTGGTATATCTGCAGATGTAGTAGTAAGCAAGGAGAATTCAAGCTACAACAGACTTCAGACAGGTTGCTATGAGGGCAGTTGTACACACAAGGGTTGTTTCCCTTGCTTAGACTAACATGCCCAAAAATACTCCCAGCAATATGTCTGTACCTTTACTTCTAAAGGAAACATGATCAGACAGATTTAATGCCATGCCTCTTGAACGCAGTCACCAAAAATACAGAATTTTCCATCAAAACCATAAACCTTGTTACCTTATGAGAAGAGTAAGTAAATTTTGCGCTTGTAACACCACAAAAGGATTTGGTATAAATTTAACTGAAGATACTAACAATTAAACTTTCAGAAAAATGTCAACCTGTCAATCTGAGCCTTCATCCAAGAGCACTATTGGTTGCCAGCTCCTACTGCACATCACTGTGTGATGGTCACTTCACTACCCAGCCAAGATGTACTCTGACACCTGTGCTCTCCCAAGCCAGAATAACCAGAAAGTCAGAAGAAACCAGGTGAGATTGCAGAGCGCCTTTGAATCAGAACCCATTCATTTTGTACCGGACACTTCCGATCACCCTACTACTATAGCATTAAGCACTTAAATATGACTAACAAGTCACAGTAAGATCACCCACCTAACAGGTTTTAACTCACAACAGTGCTTAAGTAGATTGGAATCTTAATACCCAATTAAAAAAAGATGCAGATCTTACCCAATATTAAATCTCCATTTTATATTTTTATTCTATCATCCTCCCTTATGGCAATCTTGTAATAAAAGATTACCTCCCAAAAGCCCACAAGTAAAGTACTTCTTCCTTTAATGAATTAACCTCATTTACATACGGTGACTACATGACAATTTTGGGTTCTGTCAAATATGCTACGGCTAAGTTTGCTGCAGCGGTTTTCATGTTACACACCCTCAGCTGCCTGGCAATCTCCAGTGGAGAGAGGTGTTAATGAACAGGTAACCAGACTGTGCAAAACTAAATCACACACGATTTGCCCGAGTTCAGCTCAGCAAACGGCTTTAACCATACAAAGTGGCAGGTTTACAGTACGACAGCAGAGCAGATGGTGTGGCCACCTTTCTGCTAGTTCGGCCACACAGGCACTAGCCTCCACCAGAAGAGTAACCTCTAAAATGGTCACAGCTGTTTACTTGGTATTTTACACAAGAGCTGATCAGAACTACCATCCTGTGAGAATTAAGGTAAGGGATTAAAAAGCTATACAAGAAGCTCAATGAAGATGTTAGGTTGAGCAAAAGGATTTTAAGACTAAGAATATTCAGCAAGCAACTGAACAACCGAAACCTTTCAAAATCTTGCCTTTGGCAGCTTGAAAGCAGAGTCACACTTCTTTCTGCATGTAACATGAAGACTTTGACACACTGGAATTTGGCAAAACTGATCTGAAAAGTATGCAACGAGAACTACCCTTTAAAGTGAAATTTGCAGGGCATCTCATTTTAAAAGGGAATTTACAAAAGCCTAATTTCAGTAAAGGACATGGTGCCCAGTTTGAAGCTGTAGTTATAGCTGAGAAAGAAGGCCAAGTTAGCGAAGCAGCTGTTTGCAAACAGTTATGAATATACACACACTCATCTGATATACCCATATATGCCTGTTCACATTCTTTTGAACGGGTATGCGATAGTTAATTCCATGGATCGATCAATTTGCATTAGCCATCCTAGCAGCAAGTTTTACTGGTTTTTCTTTCCACCACCTTGAAGCAATAGAGCTGCCCCTGCACACTGCCCTAACTGCCACATTGCCCAAGAGCAGGTCCTTGCATCACCTAAATCCACGCCATTAACGCCGTGACACACAACAGCCAAGAGACGGGAGCCAGCGTGATGGGCGTAACCGCATTTGGACTCAAACAAGGTCAAAAGACTTGCGAAAGATTTGTGCACAAGAACATGCAAGAACACCAACAAGCTTCTCAAACTTGGCCTTGAAGATGTGACTAGCATTTGTTGCCAAGCAATCACTAAGGTTAAAAAATGTATTTCCACTCAAAGTTATTTTTCATTTAACAGTAGAGATGAACTTCAGATCTCTGCATAAGTAAAAATCGTTGTGCCCTAAATTTACAGGGGATTTGCTCAATGAACTAAGTTTCCATGCTGTCCTTTGTATAGGATCATTTCAGAGCTAAATCTGCTTGCCCTTACTAAGCATACAAAGTGAGCTAGTTGACAGATAATCCAAAGATTTTAGACGCTCTAAGTGGATTGCAACAGCAAGCAATGTGCACCCAAATGTAACAGAAAACTCGTAATAGCCCAAACTCAGGTTTGTGAAAGAAAGGGGAAAGCAAGCAGTACAAAGTCATGAATGGGAAACACAGAGATGGTCTTTACTTGCTGGTTATAGGCTCATAGAAACTTAGGTCACCAAAGGGTTCAAACACTGAGCTTGACCTTCTTCCTAATACATGAAGTCTACACATGCTCTGTAGTATCTGACCCAAATAACAACTGATCAGAAGATCACACCTGAAATAGAGGCCTATTGCCCGTTCTCTCTCTAAAACTATGAGATAATGAATCCAATGCTGGAAATTTGAAAGGTATAGAATGCTTGTGTTTTGGAAAAGATTGCTTCACATCTCAGTTAAATTATAAATCTTAAGTTTAAAGCCTTCAACTTTTTTTGCAGCATGGAACAACTGAAAGTTTCATTTAAGTTAGCTGCCATTAAGAAAGGAAGTTGCCATGTACAATCTAAACTTTACCTTATATTTTTAGGTGCAGTAAGGACAGCAGTATCTAGACCAAACAGTAAGTTTCCATTGTTTAAATCATCTGAGAAAAGTAGATACAGGGTTTGATGTTTGTTTTGTTGTTGTTGCTGTGCTGTTTAAATACAGAACTTCCAAACACTAAGCCAGCTCTTAGATAAAGCTTATCAATTCAACGCTGTGATAAGTTCCCAATAGCCCATGAAAGGAACAATATTCCATTAACCTGTTGACTCCTATGTGCTGCTGCCACCGCACAACCTACAAGAGCCCATGTGTCACTACTCAACTGTTCACCCAGCTCCAACTCAGGAGCTACCTTTCCCACAGCAATGAGAGTCAGTGCCAGCATCAGGCTCCATCTTATTTCTGAAAACAGGAAGAGGAGAAAACAAAACTATTTCAGTAGGTTCCCTGCTGCTATGCTATAGCACAGAAGTCAATACCTAAGCTAAACAAATATCGCACAGTAGCAAAGCTAAAAAAAACCCTCAAATTTAACTACAAACGAGTCAATACCAACAGTCACGCAGCACATTTTTTTGACATTTAAACACTTCCTTTCCTCATCAGCTTGGGAAGTAAAACAAACCTGCTAAGCGTCACATGATGATGCTACGGCTCCTTGTAAAATATTTGTGGATATTCTAACAAGAGTCTGGAATGGCTTACAAGTTTTCTATCTTGGTTTTCTACCTAAGCTAAACAAGCATCACACAGTAGCAAAGCTAAAAAAACCCTCAAATTTAACTACAAACCGTATCCCTAAGAGAGGGGTCACAGATCTCCTTAAAACAGCACACAGCCCTGGGCGATGAGACTGCCTCCTCCGATCCCTAAGCAAACCAAACCAACCTTGCCACCACAACTCTTCCCAGTATATCCACCCTGTAAGCACCACTGGAATCATCCACTCCAGGCTGCTTCTTTTATTATAGTTGGTGTTTGAAAGAGTGAAAATGTCATCTTCCCCTCACTCCCCTGTTACTGGTCTACAGCTTTTCTGATAGAAACTCCTGTTCAAGAAGGGAAAAAAAAAAAAAAACACAGAGCATCTTCAGAGCATCCTCAAACTAGCATGTCCAGCGTGTAAGTGGGACTAATCATCACAAGACGGGTTCATTCTCATCAACATAGCTTAGACACTAAAAGAACAAAAGATCACCATGAAACTTTCATGCTCAAAATATTTGTTCATTTTTAAAGAACGGCTTGACTTAATAAGTCAAGAGTTAATAATTAGTAATTACTTATTTAGCAATTAAGTTACTAAGCTATTAAGTCACCCTCAAAACAGCCTGCATCCATGTGCCATCACAGCTGCAGCAGCACCACTAGTTGGTTAGCACAGTTATCTGACCAATAAAGCATCTATAGATTCATCCGCTTCCCAAATCAGCAGTTGCTTGGACTAGTCTTAGGAACAAAATAGGTGGAACTGCACGGCCAGTGCTGTTAGCACGGCCACAGATGGCAAAACACCTCCTGCAGGCTCCATGGGCCGAGCGTTCATGACAAGAACGCAACTTACTTTGGATGACAGAGGGAAAAATCTGCTTAGCTTCTGGCTGCCTTGACTGAAATAAGATTACTAAACAAAATACAGCTTTTTGGCATCTTGTATTTACACTAATTTCTGCTAGAGAGGTTCTCTCACAAGTAGCTCCTCTCCAAGCGATGCAGTCATACAGACAACATTCAGTAAGGCTGTATTACTTAAGTAAATTAAGTTACTCTCAGATAATACCACCATGAATCCATTTATGTACAAGTCATTTCTCCCTCTCTAGCACCAGCACTGCTGTTCATTTGACTTCATCCACGGTGACCTGATTCAAAGAAACAAATGAGTAATTT